CTTGTTTCTTTTCCTTTTCTGTGGACTGGCTATGGCCTTATATGAAGTGACTTGCCTGGCTCTAGAGACAGAACTTTCTCTGTTCAATGACATCCTTTTTATGATTTCCTTTTTTCTGTTTTACCATGGAATTTTCCCTCTTTTGACCATTTCCTACTATACATAAATTTCCTTACTTTCCATTTAAAACAAATAAGACAAAAATAGTTTGCATTGTTCTTATTCAATGTCTTTACTTTCATTTTCCCACCTCATGGAACATTTTTAATTGAGCCTTTCACCCTCACCATTCCCCAAAGCAGTTCTTGTTAAAGCTGTCTATCCCTGGCCTTCAAATGATGAATCAATGGCCACTTCTCAGCTGTCACTGGACATAAGGCATGAGAAGCTCTTGTATTATTGGTGTCTTTCTCCTTCATGAACATCTTCTTTTCTTACAGCGTACTATTCTTTTTGGAATGCAGGATTTTTCCATTTAATTGCTCATTTTTTTCAGTCTACAAGTATTGGAGTGCTCTAGACTTGAACCAGATAATTTGTTTTGGTCTATAATCATCTTTCTAGTTGACAGCAGATTTTCACACTATCTAATATTATTAATGCCATGAGAAGTCACAAATACCTCCAGCTTCAACTTAAAGACACTATTGTTGAACATGTTTTCCACACAATCTTGTAAACTTAGCCCAAACCACATTTATAAAATAGGATGCCTCATGAATATCTCTAGATTAGCAGATACAAAAGTAAACTTTTGATTATTTTCCCCTCAACATGTCAATTATTTCTCCCAAGACCTTCTTAGCACAGTCAATGGCAACTGCAGCCTATTAATCATGCACTCTGCAAACACTTGACGCCTATTTCTCCTATAGGGCATATCTAGTCTTTCAGGAAACTCTGTCTATTTGACCTTTGGGTACACATTCTAAGATGAATCCATTTTTACCACTGTTATGCTATCATCGCATCCCAGGGACAGCTTCATGATCACTTTTTGCCTTATTCTTGCAAACTGATCTACATAGCATAAATAAACATTCTTTTAAAAATGTGTCAGACTACATATTGTCTCACAATGCTTCAGATAGTGTTCTGTCTCACCTGGATTGAACTCTGAAGAATTATCTGCTCAGTGCCCCAGAGAATCTCTGTGCCCTTCCTAGCCTTCTCTTTAGTCGGCTGCTCATCCTTCCTCCTTCTTCCACTCCTGTCCTCAGTTCCTCTTCTCATTCCCAGAAGCACTTTCATCAATTTCTGGGTGGCTCTTTCTTTTATTTCACTTAGCTTTCTGCTTTAATTTTAGTTTTTTTCTCCCTGACTACCTATGCATTTATCCCACATGCCATTTAATTTCTATATTTTGCATTATTCTCAACACTACGGCAAGGTTTACATTTCTTTATTTTGTTGTCCCATCTGTCTCTTCTCTTGGACCTATGTGTAAAATCCACGAGGGTAAGTTCATGCTTTACTCTATCCAAAGCCTTTGAGTCTATAATCCTAAATACCTTGAGTATAACAGTATTCAATGAATAGCAACTGCTAAGTAAGTGAAGGGAGGCTTTGAGACACATGGAAGCTTGTGCTTATAATCCTTGATCCTAATTGCAAAAGCCAAGCTTCCTGTGTGTGACCTATGTGTGAAGATGACCAACTTGAATCTCAGACTGTGCAGAAAAGTAATAGTGAACCAAGACTACATATCCTCTGGTAACTATCTACGAAAGTCAGAGCATGACACTGTTTTGCGGCATTATCTTAAATTCCCCCTTCTATAGACAGTGTAGGCATGGTAAGCAAATGAAAAGCATTTAAAAATGTAAACAGTGAGTTGAAATTTAACTTGTGGAATCCTCAGTGTTTTATTACTGAATAGAGAAAGGATATCAAGCTTGGATCATTTCAGGAGTTTAAAAATTCCAGTTCTGGATTTGCTGAGTGTTGAGAGACTGTGTACCTACAGCCATCTCTCATAAGCCCAAATATGGAACATGTGACTTGACAAATAAAAGTCTGCTTAAGGTAACATCAAGAAGAAGTATAAAATTGGGAATTGGCTTTAAATAGGAAGGATATTTAGATACATTCTGTGTGCCTCTGAAATGACACATCAAATGGATCAAAAATAAATATTAATGATAAAAGGAAGTCACAAGATTAAAGGTACATCAGATATGCCCTTCTTTGTTTATAAAACAGGCACCAGAATTGGCATAACCAGCTTTGGGAATCAGCTTTGAGGAGGGTGAAAAATTTTGAATTATAGCACACAAATCCTTACAGGAAGATAGAAGACACTGTCATAGATTTTGTAGCATGTTTTCTTTTTTGTCAACTTGACACAAACTTGGGTCATCTTGGAAGAGGAACCTCAGCTGAAAACATTCCTCCATGATTGAGGTGTAGACAAGTCTGTGGGAGCATTTTTAAATTAATTATTAATGTAGGAGGGCCCAGTCAACCCCTGAGCACTACCCTTAGGCAGCTGGTCCTAGGAAGTGTAAGTATGGAAATGGATAAGTGACTTTGTTCTGTGATCTCTGCTTCAGTTCCTCCCTCCAGGATACTGCCTTGACTTCTCTGCATGGTGGAATGTGATGTGAAATTATAAACCAAATAAGCTCTTTCCTCCATAAGTTACGTTTGGCCATGCTTTATCACAGTAGCAGAAAGTAAACTAGGACAGAAATAGTGTTTTACAAACGGTGGTATGCTTCTACCCACACACAGCCTATTTTAGACTGTGTATCTTGGACATTTCATAAACACAATTCACTAAAGCATTTGCATCAACAAACGTTGTGCATGCCACTGACAAATAAGTATTTGACAGATGAAATTTATTTATATTTGCCATCTCATTCTTTTTCAGCACCTTCACAGCCGTGTGTTTTCTGTGACTCACAGCTTTTGCTTATATGATGCGCTGCATGGCTGTGATATTTCCTACAAGTAAGTTAGTCTCTTGTCTCTGTCTCTGTCTCAGTATCTCTCTCTCTCCCTCCCTCCCTCCCTCCCTCCCTCCCTCCCTCCCTCTCTCTCTCTCTCTCTCTCTCTCTCTCTCTCTCTCTCTCTCTCTGTGTGTGTGTGTGTGTGTGTTGGGTTAGAGGCTAGAGGTTAATATAAATCCTGAAACTTGAAAAAGAATACCAAATTCTACCTTCAGTGAATGAGAAAATTAATAATTGTGTAGCATTTTCAAATTGAATACTGAGTAGCCACAACTCTTCATTTTCTATGTATAGAACCAGAACAAACTGATATTACTGAGTGTCCATGTAACACACAGCATAAGCAGAAAGCAGGGAAGGAAACAGAATATTGATCCTGATGGAGCCGAATTCTAAACATGTGCTTGTGGGTCTTTCATTTTCATGCCTTCATAACACAGTGGACACATTCCTCTAAGAACTGGAGCAGCACGGTGAATACACACTGTCTTCTTACAGTCCTTGCCCGCAGTTTCCGGAGTTGGCTTGTGGTTCTAAAGGTCAGCGAACAGGCACAAAGTGTGCGCTATACATCTGAACTTCAGTAGTCTATCCCTACTCTTTTTAATGTTCCTGCTATTAAGAATGAAACACCACTTTGCCCTTGTATAGGCAGTTTTTCACCCTCTTTGTATAGAATGTATAATTCTATCATTTTCTGAAAATTATCTTTCTATTCCATGATTAGGATGCCACTGATTTTGACAAGGCATGAGCAAGCCATGTCTTACTTGTGAGTCTTACTGTATGGTTCTTACAAATCTTATATCATTTTTCAAGTCAATAAGAGACTGGAGTATTTAGAAAAAATTAGATGTAAAAAATTCAGTCTTAGATTCATGTTTATCTCTAGCAGAAAAATATTTTACACAGTATTTTGGAAAAAAGGATATTTTTATTAGCTAATGAATAAGCATTTGTGTTGATACGCAAAATCCTGATGACTCAGTTGCATGAAGCCAAGGACTGTTTCTTTATCATTAAGGAATTCACTGCTCTTTCATACAATGTTACCCACTAACACTTATAGTTATCTGTTGTGTGTTGACTTTTGGCTAGTATCTTTCATTATAGTCTCTTACATTATTTACACATGGTTTTAAGCTAGTGCATCAAAAGTCGTTCTATAGCTTAAGAATTTCTTGACACCTAGGTTTACCAGGTTACCACCCAGGGTTCAATTTCTGAATTTTTACACACACCCTTACACCAATTAGAGCAGAAATTTTGAACACCACAAATAGCACTGCCATCTCCCCTTTATTAATAAGTCATATCCACCCTGTCACTGAGTCCTCATTCATGTCCATTCCCAGAAAATATCCATACACATACACCATATGCATGCATGCACACAAGTGTCATTTTTATACTTAGGACAGCATTTATGTTTCGCTGGGAGAAAATTCATAATCTTAATTAAGGATGATTACTAATTATTTTCTCCAGAGATAAACACATAAAGTAGATGATATATTGGGGTGGCATTAGACAGGGATTTTTTCCAACTAAAAAAATTTACACAGGTAAAGTAATAGAGTATGTTCTGTGCAGAACTAGCAGAGTTTGAGTTTCCTTTAGAAGATCTTTGAGATTAAACCACCTCAGTTGTTCTTAGACTTTTCATTTGTCATCCCTATTAACTATTATGTCACTATTATTGGGGGCACAAAATTCAGTTTGAAATAAGCATTGAGTCTCCTCAGTTTTATATCAGATACTCCCAATCTATTAGCGATGAAGAAACTGAGTGGAGAACTCCTATATTGTATAATTTAAAGACTTCTGATGTCATTAGATTAAAGGGAAGGATGATTTGATTTATTTTTGTATACTGTCCTTTGAAGGCCTCAAAAAGGGTAGACAGACACAAACTCCAAGGAATACTTCCACAATCACACAGACACATGAAAGCAAAACTAAAATGGATTTCCACCGAGATGTCAAGGAAGTACTACCTTGCCCCAAACCATCAAGAATCCGATTATCACAAAGATGGATAGTTACCCATGGCGAAGAAAGGGATTCCCAGCAGGGTGGAGTTGTACTTTCCATCAGTGATGAAGATGATCCCAGCTGCAGTGGCGATGGAAATGCACACGGTGAGCACCCCCAGGAGGCCCAGGAAGGGCTTACTGCGCAAGCAGTCCTTCATGGAGCTGGATAGGGTGGCCGTGGTCAGGATCAGGACGAGGCTCACCAGGACCTTGCTTCTGGCCAGGATGCTGGTCTTATGAAAGTCTCTCCAGAGGCTAAAAGATGCCAGAAAGTACAGTTGGAGGTCTTGGTGCTCATCCTGGAGCTTCCTCATAAGCTTACAGAACTCATTCTCCCACTTCTCCCCTATGAGGTCTTGAGTGGCAGAACCATAGGTCTGGAGGTAGTAGGTGATTTGAATGGCTCTGGCTGACTTGACCCGCTGGTCTTTGCTGTTTGGCACTTCCACTACCCCGCCCAGCTGGTGTCCAATAAAACTGTTCCTCCCATCCTTGAAAATAGAAAGAGGGGAGACTTCAGTTACCAGAAGGATGCACATTCCAAGGAACTATTTCTTATTCTAAGTGAAGAAGCACATGGAAGGCAAAGAGAGGTGCTTGTGATTATGGAATTGATGTGGGTGGAGAGGAGAGTCAGGATCTTATTCTTAACCTTTTGGAACTATGTGGGAAACCCTGCAGGCAAACAGGAATAAAGACGATGGGGAGAGTGTCACAAAGCTACACCAGACTTGCTTCATGCACTGGGGAAAAGGCTCATACATTTGGATTTCCCAAATGCTTCCACTCCTTACATTTTTCTTCTATAGCAATCTGGTCAAATCCTTTAAGAGCAGGTTCAGTTTATGATAGCTGTAAGCAGAGCATGGCACGAGGCTCACCCTAGACCATATGAAAGAGACGGAGTAAATTTTCCTTCAAGTAGATAGTATACCTTCCATCCCCAGAACTCGTGGCCTTAGCCCTGTCCTCGTGAGCCTCCACGGGGTTTCCTGTGCTGTGGGTCAGAAAGGCGTTGCTATGTCCTTGTCCCCTTTTCTGCCCCTTTCTTTCAGATGATGACCAGAATCTGAAAGCTGTTTTTCACCCCTCTAATACTTTGGGCATCCTTACTTTCTCTAAAGCCTCCTTCCCTGCCATATATCTGAGCTATGTGCTAACTTCAACGTCTTGTTTTTTTCTTCTTCCTTCTATCTTCTTGTGTCCTGCTCTACCTGTTTCCGATATTTAGTTTGCCCTGGGTGTTTTCCTTTTAAATTCTAAGAAAATTGTCTTTGAGCTTCAAAAGTTAAAATATAATCATCCTGTATATAAATATGCTAAGTTTTCCAGAATCAATATATGTGCCAACCTATAGACAAGAACATCCTTATTTCCTTACATTCGTGCAATTAAATGAGTGGTTCAGAATAGGATGAGCACCTTTCTAAAAGCTAGTGTGGTACTGAAACACTTCCTGCAGGTGATACCAGCACTTTCTGGGTCAGCACAATCACCCTCCCCACCGCTCACCCGAATCTGTCTTAGACTTATCTCCTTCTATAGATAAATTTGCAAAGGAGGCTGTTAAGATTTTCAGGTAGTATCACCAAATGGTGTCCCAGCTTCAATGCTGGGCTTGAGGAAACATGTACAAGATCATTGATCTAGGAATTGGACAAACACAGCAGTAATTCCTCCTTAAAGCACACTTAGATGACACAGACTTGCCAGTTATTCTCATTCAATGAGGGGGCTCCCTGACAGCCATCACAAAATTTTAATTTATTTGGAAATTTTATTTCTGTCACAGTTGTCTCCACACTTTAGTGGTAATGGTTGATAGAATGTTGAGCCCAAAAGCAGGCTTCAGGATGATTTATAGAGCTGAAAATACATTGTTGGTATTGGGTGAGATGTAGGCATAAAAAGAAAGTTTATGCTACAACTAGTTTGTATGTGAATGGAGTCAGGAAAGATGTGCTCACAAGGTATAAAAGAAACTCCTGAGCAGATTGGGAGCATGGGGAGGTGGGAGGGAGTGGAAAGAGAGCCAAAAACAGAGAGGGGGAGAAGAGGAGGGGAGAGGAGGGCATGGGGGAGAAGGAAGGTTGAGTTGGGGGAAGAATAGAGGAGAGCTGGGTCAGAGATACCATAATAGAGGGAGTCATCCTAGGTTTGAGGGGAGATCTGGCACTAGTGAGATCTCCAGAAATCTATAAGGATGTCACCAACTGGCAAACTAAGCAATAGTGGAAAGACTACTTTAAATGCCCCTCCCTGATAATGATTTTGACGACTATCTTACATACCATTCTAGAACCTCCATCCAGTGGCAGACAGAAACAGAGGCAGACATCCACAGCTAAACACTGAACTGAACTCCTGGAACCCAGTGACAGAGAGGGAGGAGTGATGAGCAAAGGGGTCAAGACTGGGCTAGTGAAACCCAGGAAAACAGCTGACCCTTACAAGAGGGAGATATTGGACTCCAGGCTGAGGGCTGAGAACCCAGCATGGGACTGATCCAGACCCCCTTGATGGGAGATGCCATTCTGTAAATCTGTCTCTTATTGGGTGTTGGGTAAAGCACTGTGGGACTAGGAGTCAAGGAGGATTCTGGGAAAGAGAGGCAGAGGCAGAGACAATGTAGCCTGCCAGAGGAATAAGAGGTCCGGACCCTTTTCTCCAGTAACAGAAATACCTTGATTAACAATTATCGGTTAAATACTTGATTCAGAGCTAGCCAGTAAGAAACCAAGCAAGTGGCCAACAGCTTAATAATTAATATAGCCTCCTGTGTGTTCATTTGGGACTGATGCGGCTCTGGAACCAGGCTGGTGGGAAGACAACACTCTACACTCCCTGAATGTGGGTGTCAGTGAGGAGACCTAGGTAATCCATGGGGCTTTGGGTAGTAGATGAGTATTTATCCCTGGAACACAAATGGACTTTGGGTACCCATCCCATAATGAGGGATGCTCTCTCAATTTGGATACTTGGGGGAGGGCCTGGGCCCTCCTGGAATGAAATGACAAGCTCTAGACGTCTCCCATGGGGAATGGAGTGGGGATTGGGTGGGGGTGGGGGGACTGGTGGAAGGGGTGGGCGTGGAGGGGAGAAAGGGGAGCTGGGACTGACATGGGAAGCAAGCTTGTTTCTAATTTAAATATATAATAAGAAGTGTTTAAAAAAAGAATTGATTCTTAGCAAAGAACAGTTAGTTCTCTCTAGAGAGCAGAACACAGACCACTGTACTGACCATAGGTGTTTGTTTATATGGAACTACCAAGCATCTAGCCAGCACCTGAGATAGTTATCTTGGATTTGTTTAGTCCAGACACCTAGGCATGAGGCACTTATTTGCATTTTGCTTTTAACATGAACAAAAGAAACTCTGATGTTTTAGCATGTATTGCAAACAAGAAAAGTTGGAGATATTCAGAGAATGAAAATTCAACTTTGAGAATGATCAAACATTAAAAGAAAACACTATCAAGTCACTCTGTGTACCTGTTCCTACATGTTAAATAGTTACAACCACATTAAGAAAACAAGGCGCTGGACAGTGGTGGTACATGCCTTTAATCCCAGCTCTCAGGCCGCAGAGGCAGGGGAATCTCTATGAATTGCAGGCCAGCCTGTTCAGCAGAGTTAGTTCCAGAAAAGCCAGGTCTACAAAGAGAAACTCTGTCTTGAAAAAACTAAGAGAAAGAAAGGAAGGAAGGAAGGAAGGAAGGAAGGAAGCCAAACTTGACCAAACCCAATGAACAACTCATTTCTTAACAACAATTTGATTTGTGGGTTCTCCCTTGGTGTATCTACAGCTGCCATGTGATTTTGTAATCTAACTATTTCTTTTGTTTATAAAAACTAAACTTGTGATGGAGAGATGGCTCAGTGGCTATAGAGCCCGGCTACTCTCCCAGAGGAACCTGGTTCAATTCCCAGAACCCAGAAGGTAGCATATGATCATCTGTAATTCCAGTTCCAGGAGATCTGACTCCTCTTTTCACCATCATAGGCACATGACACTCACTTTGTGCACAGAACTACATGTAGCCAAAACACCCATATGAATACAATTTTTTTAAAAAGTAAAAAAATTCAACCTAAAAGCTTAGCTGTATGTTCCCTTTTTAAAATCCACTGAGTCTTGCAAAGGAGGTTGGCAAGCTTTGGGGATAGCAATGTGAATCATGCCTCAGGACTAAGTAATTGCCAACTATAACCAAATTGCTCATTTATTTGGTGCATTTTTATCTAAAAACTGACATAATGTTTTGGTTCAATTTTTCTTTCTGTGGCTTTGAAATTCTATTTAAACGTGTGTGTCTGATCATCTGAGAGAGCCATATCCCCATATCCCCAAAGCTCTGTTTCTTTTTAGGAATGTGCTACTCTGTCTTAGCTCCTTACTGTCATTAAAAGGACCTCTGGGGAACTTTAGCAGCAGTGCAGAGAGTTATGTGTCCCTCAGGTCTCACTTGGAGATTATAGTGGACAAGGGAGGCACTGATTGTATGTCTGGACCAAAGTCAAAATTTTAAAGATGTATAGATTTTTTAAAATAGTTAAACTGTATTGAGTTTGACTAGCTGCTAGCCTTCATTTTGAAGCTGCTTAATTTTCATAAAAATAGCTTATAAGAGATACACCTTCAGTGTATCTTCCCCTGTTATATTTAAGTAAGTAAGAAATAATTACTGGTCCATGTTTAAATCCATTCACCTGTACAATATAAATGAAGTGTTTGGATATTGTGGATCAGAACTCCATTGGATGGTTGCAACATGCACATGCAGTTGGCTCAGCCAACCTATCCACTACAGCCTTTAGAAACCCAATCATGCACATTATGGGAATGAGAACATTCTACTTGAGATAAGAATAGCAAAGAATTTTTTCTTCTTGAATTAAGCAATCATTAGATGCTTCTATATAGAAGGAACTGAGAATGAATGCAGCAAATATTCTGTCTTGTGGAGAACTTTCTGGGAGCCATAGTACACTTGGGTTAATGCAATGAATTTCTCAGACGATCATGCGACTTGAGTTGTACCATGTAACTCATTATAATTGGGGAAAACGTCTATGTAGTTTATTGCCTATGTCATCTTCAGTTTTATTAACAGGAGGAGAAATGAGTATATGAAGTGATGATTATAGGATATAGAAGTCAATTTTTGGCTCTCTTGCTCTATGAAAAGACTACCTACCCAAAGAGTTTGAAGAGACCTTAATGTCAGAAATGCTGTCCTTACAACAATAAGTACAATGTATTGACGTTTTCAGCACTAGGTTAACATGCAAGTAGTCATTTTATTTGCTAGGTAAGAGAACCTAGACATGTAGAAAAGGCATACCTGTTAGTTCCTACTCAAATCTCCTGATGTCAACCCCAGTCCTTTCTAGGACTTACAGCAGAGAAACTAATTTGACTCTTGTATCAAAACTTTATTTTACCTGTGCCCCCCTTCCAACTTTTTCCTCTCCATCTAAGGCAGCCTGT